GAAATACGCTGCCCATTTCGCAGGGCGCGCTCCCTCTGGGTGCGGCGTCGAGTCCCGCGCGCAGCTTAGCGCCGGGGCGCTGCGGCTTTGCACTTCGCAGCGGGGCTCGGGTTGAGGGAGCGCAAAGCGAGGTTCTGCAGGACAGATAACTGGGTGAGCGCGCCGAGGGCGAGTTTCTGAGTGGGCGCCGGAGAGGGGTGGGGGAGTGGAACCGAGTTGGAAACCGAGGGGGGCGGGGGTACCCGGCCCTTGCCCATCCACCCCGGAGCTAGAGTCTTCCCGCGCCCGGCTCGCTTTCCAGAGGCCGGTGGGCTCAAGGGCTGGAGGTGCGATCGATCGGCGGGTGGTTGGTGTAGGAAAGAGCTCTTTGCAAGCCTGACAAAGCGCTTGTGGAGGCTGTGCGATCTGGTGCAGCAGCTTGGCGGTCCCTCCGCGAGAGGCCGGCGCTCACTCTGCAGGCACCCGGTATGCGAGCAGCTGTCGGGTTTGTGCCACCCACCTGGCCGCGCTTCTACACAGCTCCGAGGTCCGAAGCGACGCGCAAACCTGGGCACGCACCCAGCCATGGCCTCCTTGTCTCTTCACAGGGTCCCTCTAGAGAGGCCTTGGGGTCATCACAGTCACATTTGCCCATGTGCCCAAAACACACCTGCAGAAATGCGCCTTTGTGCAACCAGGGGACTGGCCACCTCAGAATGAGCTCTGCCACAAAGTTCAATCGCCAAGGCCTTAGGCCATTGTGCGAGGTGGTGTCCAGTTTCACCGGGAGAGCGAGAGAGCTTTTTTCCTTTTGAAGCATGAGAGAATCCCCCTGTCCTGCCACAGGACACCGCCGCTGCTGCAAACCAAAATAAACTTGCAAAAAAACAAAAACAAAACCATGTTAGTAAGGCCTTGCTGCCTGTTCTGTTCTTGGCTGTGAAGTTTACAACAGACTCTGCAAAGGGACGAAGGACACTCCGAGTCAGTGGTTCTCAACCTTCTGGCCCTTTAAATACAGTTCCTCATGTTGCGACCCAACCATAAAATTATTTTCGTTGCTACTTCATAACTGTAATGTTGCTACTGTTATGAATCGTAATGTAAGTATCTGATATGCAGGATGGTCTTAGGCGACCCCTGTGAAAGGGTCGTTCTACCGCCAAAGGAGTCGTGACCCACAGGTTGAGAACCGCTGCTGAGTGCTCTTGGTGCCGCTGGGGTCTGTGCAGGACGCAGGCCTGGAGCACTGGGCTGGGTTCGGGGGAAGACTCCTGCTGCCTCCTGGCAGGCCGTTTTGGGGGAGCCGGCCTGGGTAAGGTGAGCGCGCATGCAACTGGACCAGGCAGGGGGCCTGTTGGCTGACCCCTGGAAAGTGCTCTCTGACAGTGTAGGGAGTTGCTGGTCAGAGCTGCAGAGGGACCAGATCAAAGGCAAGTTAAAAAGTTTTTCCTGATGAAACAGTATCCTAGGCTGGGATCTCCACATTGACTCCCCAGGTCAGGGAGGCATTCTGGCTTGGGAATTAACAATTGAATGGTCTTGTGAGAGTGGAGGCGCCACCACACACCCCTCTCTCCAGAGAAATGCTGCTGCCCTAGCTGCAAAAAGACTGGAATGCAGGGACTCGGGTCATTGAATCCTGGGCATCGCTGATCTGGGGGGGGGTTGCTTGCCCCTCTTGGCAGCCAAGTGTCCAGTCCAGGGGGCTGGGCTCCAGGCTGGCCTGCTGCTCCTTGCATGCCCAGGCCAGGATGCATTTTTTTAAACTCCTGGGGCCCGTGTACCAATGCTGAGTACACAGCTGCTCCCGGAGATACCCTTGTGCAGGCTCAGGCTTGGGATCCTGCCCTTCCTCCCTGGCTGACCTCAGCCAAGAAGCTGGTGTTCTGGGTGTCCCAGCTTCCAGGGCTTAAACCTAGGGTGGGCCCCATTCCCAGGCTCGGTTGGAGAGTCTGGCCAGGGTCTGTCTTTTCATTAAAGTGGAAGTTGCTCTGCTAACCGCTCTGAAATAAAGCGAAGGTCCCAACCCTCAGTAACAGCTGGGCTAGTCAGGTGTCTTTCTTGTAGGTGATGTCACACCCAAAACAGCTGGGGGAGTCAGGAATAGTGACAGGAAGCTGTAGGAAAGGACACAGTGGACACAGCCGTGAGTTTTCTCCATAAGTGCACTTGAACTCTGTCACTTTAAAAAACTATTGAGGCCCTGGCCAGGTAGCTCAGCCGGTTAGAACCTCATCCTGATATGCCAAGGTTACAGGTTCAATCCCAGGTCGGGCACATATAAGAATCAAACAATGAATGCATGAATAAGTGGAACGACAAATCCATGTTTCTCTATCTCCCTCTCTCTGCCTTCTCTCTGAAATCAATAATCATAATATTAAACTATTGAAATTCCCCACTTGATAGACAGGCAGCTGGGTCCTGGGAGCAGGAATAAGAATTGCTTTGAAGGAATGGATGATCCCAGAGGGATGAAGGGAGGGAGAGGAGCAAATGAGAAAACCTGTGTTTTGAGTCCGGTCTAGGCCTGACCTGCCCCGCGTGGAGCCAGGACACCTCCTTGGACACTGGAGAGCAGCAGCCCCTACCCCCTCCCCCCGCAGCGCTCATACCATGCGCCTTCCAGCTCCCTGTTGCTCCAGGATTGAGCCCTATCCTGGCTCACCTCGGCCCCAGCCCCTGCTCAGCTCAGCAGGACCCATGAGAATTCTAGGGAACCAGGAGGCAGGCTGCTCAGAGGGGGACCTGGCTCCTGCTTTAGCCAGGCTGCCTAGCCCGGCCCTGGGCTTGCTTTCCAGGTGATCTGGTTACCAGGCAGGACAGAAGGGAGGTGTCTGTGTGGTTGCTGAGAGCCAGGCCCCATCAGGGATTTTCTGGGTTTGATCTGGGTCCCTGTGAAGACTGCTCCGCGCTCTCCTGCACCGTGAGTCCACTGAGCGCTCTGAACCAGGCTTTTTTCCTTCTGTTTCTCAGGATATTGAGTTTGGTTTAGGGGCAGGGGTCTGCTCTTCCAGGACTTGGTGGCTAAATTGGCCACCCCATGCCGTTTCTCAACTGAATGCAGCCTTTAGAAAAAAAAATGTAAGCAGTCCCTACTTTGCAAGCTTTCGTGTGGCTTCCCCAGCTCTCTTACCACAAAGTGCACAACCTCAGAACCAACGGGAGACCTCTGGGAGCCCTGTAAACAAGACACTTAAAAAAAAGTCTCTGGACTAAATATTCTCAGACATATATTTAATCCCTGATGAAAGGATCCACAAACTCAAATAATTTGGGTTATTAAGTAGGGCTTGGGTAAAATCTGCAGGAAAAACCCTCACAAATCCCAGCCTCCCCGGGCTTGCAATTCTAGACTTAAAGGGTAAGGGTGGGTTCGGCAGGAGCCCTTTGCTAATTTACACTAATGAGCGGCAATTATGGCATTTTGGAAATTGGTGAATGTGCAAACAAAGATGTAATACAACCCAGGAGGCCCTAGGGTCCCTGCAATGAAAGCCATATTTGACTCCACCCTGATAGTCTCCATGCCTCTGGGAAGGGCTGGAAAGAAGTCGGCCCTTGTCCTGTCCTCTGGGGACTCCCAGGTAGGAAGCCAGCCAGGATTCCTTTGTGGTTGCCTGGGCTTAAGGTAAATGAGGCGAGAAGACTGCAGGGGGCGGGGGATCTTGGAGGGCAGTAATCCCAGGAAGTGGGTGATGCTCCTGGATGAGGCAGGTGCCAGAGGAGGGAGGAGCGCTAGCTGGCGGACCTGGGTCTGAGCAGGGAAGACTTTCCCAGGTGGCTCTGGAGAGTTGCTTTCGCACAGAATAGCTGGGAACCTCGGTGCCTCTGACTGAAATAGTTCTGTCCTATGATTAACATCCTTTATCTTAAGAAATCTGAGCAGGAACTGCTTATTGTCATTTTCCCACCCTCCCTCCTCCTAGGGTCCATCTCTCCACAGGTCCTCTTGGCCTCTGGCCCTGGCGAAGTTGAGTCCGAGCACACCAAGGAGGAGGTCTTTGCCAGGCTGCACCAGTGGCTCACCCATCACTCTCCATCCTACCGTCGTTCTACCATCCTTTCCCAGCTGCACACCCAGATACGTGTGCGTCTCTGAGGCCTGGAGGGATAATAACAAGCCTCCTTGTTCTTATTACCTCTTATAGGGAAGCCGGTCAGCCTGAGCTACAGATGCCCTTGCCGATTCTTCGAGAGCCACGTTGCAAGAGCCAATGTCAAGCATCTCAAAATCCTCAACACTCCAAACTGTGCCCTTCAGATTGTGTAAGTCTGAGCATCATCCTCCGGGAATGTTGCATCTATTGGGCACAGTGACACCTAACTGGCGGACTCCGTGAAGCTAGAGAAATGACACATGCCAAGTGTCCGGCCTTGAACTTGGCATAATTAGAGGCAGCTGTTATTACCACAAGGACTTTGAGTGCAGCACCAGGCAGGAGTTTCCAAAGCCGCCCTTCAGTGCCCTTCTGTGCCCACAGTGGCCCTTGCCTCTTCTTTCTAAGCGTCTTCCCTCTGGCACAGGAAGTGGCTGTGCCTCTGGACTAGAGAAACACTGGCCTCCCCAAAGTTTGTGCTCAAGTTCAGTGGTACCCAGATTTGAACTTCCATCCACTCTGTCCCTGGGCTTACGTGTATCTCTGTCTTTCTTGTACTGTCAAGGTGATTCACCAAAACAAAAATCTGCGGTTACTCTCCAGTTACCCTCACAAGCTCCCACAACCTTGCAGATAAAGTCCTACTTTTTTGCCCCTACATCTGGCCACAGGCTCCTTGCGTGCCCTGTGTCTTGCTCTTCCTTCTCAGGCTCTGTGTTCTGTTTCCTCAAATCCCAACCCCAATGATTCCTATGGGGACTCTGCCACGCCAGCACCTGGCTCCAGGGAGGGGCCCAGGTGGGCGGCGGGTGAGCCGCTGCGCAGGTGCACACCCCCCTCTCCTGTCCTTGCAGGGCCAAGCTGAAGAACAACAACAGACAAGTGTGCATCGACCCGAAACTGAAGTGGATTCAGGAATACCTGGAGAAAGCTTTAAACAAGTAAGCACAACCGCCAGAAAGGACTTTCCACTAGAGCCACTGGAGGAAAGCTAAACCTGTGTGAAAGTCCTGAGAGGGCAAGGTGTGGGGAGGAAGGCCTGCGTGGCGAGGGCCAGGTGTGCGCCTGGGGCAGCGCTTTGGCCTGGGCACGGGCGGGAGGTTTGCCCGGCATGTAGACATCTGCATTTATAGCCTATGGTACGATATCACAGCTTATATTCATTCACCCGGACCCTTGCACATTGGCTGTTTTACAGCTGGAGTTTTTCTGAGAAATTGTATTATGCCAACAGCATTTCCCACCAGTCACTTCCCCTGTGATCATCACAATCATCATCATTCTCGTTATCCCTTTTAAAATCAATGATTACTTAATATCTGTATTTGGTTTGCTTTGGATTTTTCCTCTTCTCCCCTGGGGAGTCTGGGCACAGTCAGGTGATGGCCAAGCATGGAGCTCAAAAAAGTGGCCTTCCTCCAGAAGCAGAGGCATGGAGGGAGACTGGGGGCTCTGGTGGGGCGCACCCCTCCTGGAATGAGGGCCCAGGGCAGCCCTCAGACACTGGCCGTACTAGACAGCTGCCAGCACCCCCGCTTTTCAAGCGCAGGGCATGGACCTCTGGGCTCCACACAGCAGCCATCACTGGGGACTGTGCTCAGACTCTCTCCTGCCATTCCCGGCCTCTCTCCTGCCAGCGCATGCTTTCACCTTGCTTCCGCTTGCTAGCATTTCCCTCCGTGCTCGGGGAGGGGGGTGACCTGGGGCTGCGGCCCGCAGCGCCCTCCTCCCTGTGCCCTCCCTCCTGCTCAGGCCCTCTGTGAGAATCTGCTCCAGCCTCCCCCAAAGCGGAGCTGGCCTCCCGGGGCGTGGGACCCCATGTCCCCCCTTCCCATGAGAGACAAGTCTCTGCAAACCCAAATGCAGTTTCAACCTGAGAGCGTTCTTAGAGGAATCTGGTTTCAGTGATTGCCTCTGAGGCATGTGTGTGCCCCGGAGGCTCTGCAAATGCTAAGTTTTCTGAAACCTGAGGTGCAGATTAAGTGAATGAAAGCGCCTCTTACCACTAACTCCTGCTCCTGAAGCCACAACAGCTCAATCTGAGATGCTGGCAAGGTGAAATTTCCACCCATAAATGTGATCCACAGACGGGCCTGGTGGTGTTTGTAACGTTTTGCAAGGCATTTTTTTATATATTTTTGTGCACACTTTTTTTAAACATTTCTTTATAAGACAAATGTATTTCAGAATATATTTATAGTCAAACAATTCATACGTTTGAAGTGGAGCCATATGAATGTCAGTAGATACATTTCTCTATTATCTTAAGCTACTGGCAGTTTGTAAAGAAATACATAGAAATGTGATGGAAGCTTTTCAATGTTGGCCACAGTGTATTTTTTCACTTGTACTAAGATTGTATCGAATGTGACATTATATGCACTAGCAATAAAATGCCAATTGTTTCATGGTACAAGCATCCTACTGTATGTGGGAGTTTATTGTCCTGAAGTAAACCCGTTAGCTGTTAGACATGGCGCTCTTACACGTTTCCCGCCTTCGTGACGCTGCGCCGGCCGCGGGTCAGGTGCTGTGGGTCCCTCCTGCCGAGTCCCCGTGTGAGAGCCAGCACACGGGCCTCGCCCAGGAGCAAATGCCATCTGTGACTCACGTTTTTGCGTTTGTTTTTTGTTTTGTTTTGGTTTTGTTTTTAACCCAATGGAAGCAGCGGTGCTAGTTTTCTGAAGAATAATATTTGACTCACTAATTCCTCTTCCCCTTCCTTCTCCTCGGTTCTCCTAACATCCCCACGTAATCTCTAGAGCCTCAACCCTTATAATATCCAGCTCTCACATTTTCCCATGTACAACTCCCATCCTTCCAGCCCATGGTTCATATCAAGCTTTCCCAGGAACAGGTGGCCGTATCCCATAAATCATTAAATACCATTCAGCTTGAATCATTTTAATGTGACAGTCACGAGCCAGTTGCTCTAATAAAATTCTGCTAACCAGCTCTCTCCCTCATTCTTCAGAACAATCTCAGTCATTCCCAGGGGTCTCCACAGGCGTCCAGAAAGGAGAAGGTGGGCTGCTGCTGCCTTCTCTCCTCCTGGCAGGCCTACTAAACCCTGGGCTCGAGCCTCTGATGTGCAATGCAGAGATTTTTTACGTTAAACAGAGAGCTCAGCTCTGTGTTGAGAAGGAAGGAAGCCTGGGAAAGCAGGTGGGGGGAGACAGAGATGCAGTCCAGCCTGGCCCTGGTTAGTCTTCACACCCTTTTAGATGTGAATTCCTTTCCCCACTGCAAGCCGCAGGCAACAGGGGAGCCAGGGTTACGTTGGCAAATTGGCGATTGCTGTGCTCAGTTCACAAGTGTGGGGAAGACTTGCATTTTTGTGAATCAAGGCAAATGTCTACTTGCAGGTGGGGGGAGACAGAGATGCAGTCCAGCCTGGCCCTGGTTAGTCTTCACACCCTTTTAGATGTGAATTCCTTTCCCCACTGCAAGCCGCAGGCAACAGGGGAGCCAGGGTTACGCTGGCAAATTGGCGATTGCTGTGCTCAGTTCACAGGTGTGGGGAAGCCTTGCATTTTTGTGAATCAAGGCAAATGTCTACTTCAATGAGGTGCTGATGGACAGGGCCTTGCCCAGTGGCCTCCAGGCCTGAGGACAGATGGCACCAGTCCAGGGGCCAGTGTTAATATTGTGCAGAGTGAGGCAGACTCCTGTTTATTTCAACGTCATTAATGGTTCTACTAATTTTATCTAAGGGGGCGCAGAGAAGAAAAAGTGGGGAAAAAAGAAAAGATAGGAAAAAAGAAGCGACAGAAGAAGAGAAAGGCTGCTCAGAGGAGGAAGCACTAGTTTCTGCCGCCCGGAGCTGGACCGCAGTGCGCGCTGTGCTTCCCTCCCAGCGCTTTGTAAATTGGCTCTACCCTCCTCAGAGCAGACCCCGGCCTCCGGGGCGCTCGGACTCTAGGGGAGCAGCGCTCTGCCATCGCTGTGGCCATGCTGGCCCTGCCTGTTGTGCTTACTGAGACCCTCCTGGTCTGCTAAATTCTGAAGACAGTAGTTGTGCAGAGACTGAGGTTGGGGTCCGGGACGTGGAGACCCTCTCAGGACCCTCTAGAAAAGCCCGGACTCTAGAGTGACCTGGGTCTCCATCATCCCCCGGGTTTCTGAGCCTCCCACCTGCCCTTCACTCCCTCCCTTAGAAGGCCCATGAGCCCTCCGGGGCACACCTACAGGCTGCTCCTGTCTGAGACCAGCATGCGCCTGCCTGGCCACCACCCAACGCAGTCTGCTCGCCCAGCACAGGCCCCGGCCAGCAGGGGGCATGTGCCTATGCCCTCTCATTGCTGCCAGTGGGGCTGCCCAACCAGGCCTTCTCAGGGCAGAGCTGGCCTGGCCCTTCCATTCGCGGTGATAGCAGACTCCTTTGCCCCGTCCCTTGCCTGGCCCTCACCTCTGCCCGCGGGTGGACTTCTCCAGCCCCTTCCCCAGGCCAGCTGTGTGAGTGGCTCCCCCTCCGGGCTCAGGTGGGTCTCTGTATGAGGTGCTTCTCGGTGCGCCGGGTAATTTATTTTGTAGATTCCTTACACGGGTGTGGAGGCCCTCTGTGAAGGGCCGGCAGCTCTGGGGCTCCTAGCTCCCCTCCCCCTCCTCTGGAAGAGTCTCCGTGACCCTGCGGTTAGGTTGCAGGACGGACACAGCTGCCTCAGTTCTCACTCCTGGGAAATATCTGCTTAAAGAGACAAGGTTTAGATTCTAGAACTTCACTCACTGCCCTCCCTACAGAATTATGTCTGAGATTTCTTGCCAAGTCTCTCTAGCTCGGACCGGAAGGAGGGGGTCAGGGGGGAGAGCAAGGCCCCGAAGTCAGCACTGCTTTGACAAAGGCTGCCTTGCCTATCTGCCCTTCTCCCGCCCCCAGAACACATAAACACACCCACACCCCAGCCCGGTCACAGTTTCATCACATGGATCCAGAAAGATGCAGGGGATGGAGGTCAGAGCTGATGGGTTTCAGGAGAGAGTGCAAGGCGCCTGTGTGTCAGACTCCCCTGTGTCCCGGTTCCCTCTCCCCTGGTGCTCTAAGGTGCCCAGGGTGGTCACAGCACAGAGCACCGCAGCTTCCCTTTGCCACTGGAGAGGCGTCTTTGCATCCCTTCTAGCTGGCGAAGGCTCCCAGCCTCACTCCTGTTGCCAGCACAGGGGTGGTAGGCCTGTGTCTGGACACGTGGGGGCTCACATCCTCCTCATCCACTCCCCTCCCGCCTCTGAGGCATCAGGATGTTCACTGGGTGGCCAGCAGGAAGCTGGTCGGGGGAGCCTGGCTGGGCTGCTCCTAATTTGCACATGCGCCAGCAAGACAGAAGAGCAGACCTGTGCCTCATGCTGTCCTTCGTTCTTTACACTGTGGGAGCAGCCACCTCTGCTAGAGAGGGTGACAGGTCCTCCCTGAACACAGGAGCAGCTGCCCTTCAGCAACAGGTCAAGCTGTGGCCAGCCTGCGGTGACAAACCAGTGCTCAGGGGGACAGTGCCCCTCCTGTCCTGGGGAGGGGGGGCTGTGGGGACTAAGGGAGCTGGCCCAGGGTTAGGACCTGCAGGCCAGCATCGTCCGGCCCTTACACAACTCCACTGGCCCTGGGCTTCACTGTGTCCAACAAGCAGGCACAGCCCCGGCCCCGTGGAAGGGTCCTGGGTGGCTGGGGAAGAGCCGAAGAGCCGGGCCTCAGTGCCGAGCCGGGCTGACACTGGGCAGTGTCCACGTGTCTGCCCCAGGTGAGTGGTGTGTGAGGTCTGCAGTGGGCGAAGGCCTGTCTGTCCTGTGGCCTCTGCACCAGCCTGGCTCCGTGCCCTCATTCATCTGCCACGATCATGCTTCTGCCCATCTGTCCTCTCCCCCTCCCACCTCCCTGCCACCCTGTGCTTCGCCATGGCCATGCTGTCTCTCACCGCCCTCCCCTCCCCAGGGCCTCGGAAGGGAGGTCAGG